AACCTGCTGAGCCTTCTACTACCTGGGCTTGCTTCAAATTCCCACTCTCCCGCGTAGGGTGGGTGGGGGGTGGGGGGACCCGGGGCAGGTTCCTTTCTCATCTGCTCTCTCCATTCCCCAGTCTGTAAATTGGAGATAGCAACTCTTAGTTCCTAGGATTTTTCTAAAAGCTAATTAGGGCAATGGATATAAAACATGTGGCATCTTTAAGCATTCAGTAACTGATAGCAAAGAAGCCAAACTCTCAGCAAAGGAGCTGGCCAGCAGACCAGCCCTGGACAGAAACAGGGCTCAGCAATGTAGACGCGGGAGGGGAAGACAGGCTACTCCACTTCCAATCCAGCTCCCTGCCCACGGCTTGGAAAAAAAGCAGCAGAGGACGGTTCAATTGCCTGTGCCCCTGCCACCCATGTGGGAGACCCAGATGAAGCTCCTGGCTCCTGGGTTTGGCCTGGCCCAGCTATCTGGGGAGTGAACTAGTGGATGGAAGATCACTCGCTGTCTCTTGCCCTCCCTCTGTAACTTCAAAATAAATTGATAATTCTTTTTAAAAAACCTAAGCATGGCTTATCCACTGCCCTGCTGTGATATTAAAAGGCGTCCCTGTCCCAGGATTGTTCTTTCTCCAAAAAAATAAATACATAAAATAAACAAACAAAAACAGAGCACCTGGGGAGATTAAACTCACAAGAAACCTCACCCTAACAGAACCCAGGCACCTTGTTTGAAAACTGCATAAGGTTGATGGGTTTTTCATCACCCAAGTACATGATACGCTCATGCTGCAACCCTCCCCATTCATTTCTGGTTTTCTTCAAGGCAAACTCATTCCCACTTTCAACAATTTTTTAAACAAAGCAATTACCCTAGAAGAATTAAAGCTCTCCATTGCTTCTATAGGACTCTTGGGATCTGAAGAGGGTCCTGTGTAGTGTTGTCCATCTTGGATTATCTGTATTGTCCTTTTTCCCCTAGGTGTTTGTTTTGTTTGGTGGTGGTGGTGGGGTAGTGGTGAAAGGTGAGAGGGGGGCTTTTTGTTTTGTTTTTCTTGCTCTGCCATCTAGGTAAAGCTCTTCTTCAAAACACCAGCCTGGGGGCAGGTGTCATGGTACAGTGGAAGGAGCCGTTGCTTGGGATGCCTTTATCCCATATTCTAAGTGCCAGTTTGAGTCCTGGCTTCTCAGCTTCTGATCTAGCTTTCTGCTAAGACACACTATGAGGCAGTGCCTGCCACCAATTAGGAGCCACAGAGGGAGTTCCTGGCTCCTGGATTTGGCCTGACTCAGCCCTGGCTGTTGCAGGCATTTGAGGAGTGAACCAGCAGATGGAAGACTCACTCTCTCTCTCTAAGTAGATTAAAATAAATTAAAAAGAAAATAAAGAATGAAAATGCTGGCCTGCTTGAGCACCACTAAAGAGGCAAGAGGGGTTCTCCATAGTTGATGTCTATACTCTCAGTTTGCAAGTATGCAGAAGCTGTGAGGATAAAGGGCCGAGAATCTCACTGGAGGAAAATGTAGCAGTGAAGGGCTGCTTTGGCAGCTGTTGGCTCCTGCCACGCCTCCTCTTGTCTCAAGGGCTCTATGTAGACCCCCCTGTCTGTCTGGGATCTCTCCTCCCTAGAGGACCGACAGGAATAGGACTAGAGAGCTGACAAAAGCCCAAGACTGACTGTTGCCACATTTGCTCATTTCCTTCTTAACAGGACAAACAGGCTGTGTTGCTTTTCTATGCAGGTACGGCGGCTTACGAATTCTTTCACTGCACTTCATTAAGAACCTCCAGAACCCCAACGTCCTTTCACCACGGTCGCTGGCTCTCAGTGTCCCGGGTGTGATTTTTTGGCTTCTGCACCTGGAGGGCATCACGTTCACTGCCCATCACTGCCATCTGGTCACCTCAAGACCCCAGTGGTTTGCCTTCGCCTCCATGCTTCCAGAAAATTCCACCAGTGAGCCATTTGGGTGAAAATTCCACAAGACAGAGGCTTAAAAGTTGGAAGAAAATGATCGCGTTCACTTTGAGACCCAAATTCTCTCTCCTTTCATGGCAGGGAAAGAAAGAAAGAGAAGCCAGCCAGTCGGTCTGGTGTTGCCAAGGAACTTTAATTCCCAGCCACCTCACTGCTGCCTCCTAGTGAAAGTTTGAGAATTGAAAGGAGACCATCTACTGGCGGTGATTTAAGGAGGACAGGAAGAAAGTGAATTTCCACGAACTTTTTCTGAGAGCTTCTGAGTTTCTGACTGGATGCTTTTGTCATATCACCTGTTACCATGGCCACAGGGAAAACAGAAACAGACAGATTCTACCGATCAAATCAGACTGTTCTCTGGGGTTTACCATCAAAAGTGGACAAGATAGAACCCATCAAACTTGGAATTCTCTTTCGATTTGTTTTTCCTTCACTTCTGACCTACACAGACCATTTCCTATAGCCTGGTATTTTTCATCTTTAGGGCAAAACCACACAAGAGCAAAAAGCTAACACTCAAGTAATTCAAACACTACTTACAGGAGTACTTCAAAAACTTCATGGGAAATGGAATTAAGAGATAAGTTAATTTCAGTGCAAAGAATTTTTGAAATCCCTGCATATTTTCTTCAGAACAGATACTTTCCATCAACTTTTTGAGGATGCCTTCCAGGAGAAAATTTAAAAAGTGAATTTACACTTTGGTACATACGAATGAAAATGGCTGGGAAAATGGACTGTGTTAAATGCCCAGCCACATTCAGGCCAGGGACGTGAAGGTTGGTTAGGTACAGAGATGCCACCCTGTCTTCCTTCAACGAACCACTTATCCTGAGTGCTCTCCTTGGTTGTGAAGGGTTTAGAATATTGATTCCCCAAAAACCAAAACTGAAAACCAAATCTCTCCTATGTTGAAATGGATGAAATTTTATTTGAGGAACATACAGCACACAGACAGACATTTTCCATCTGACACTTTTGTTTTTCACAGCTCAACATTCTCAGGCTTGAGAAGATTCAAGTCCATTTACAATCTCTAAACAGGCAATGTTGCACGCCTGGCACTGGAGAAACTATACCCGAAGAACTTCACATACCTGGTTTTCATACGACATTGCACCTCTATATGAACATGCTTTTCAATCAAACATACAAACGTTTCTTTCCTGTGTTATCATGGATTGCAGATTTTGAAACAAATTTGAAAAGAACATAAGATAATGTCACTCACCAATCTAAAACAAACTTTCTTAATCTTTATCCTTCTTGCTAGATCAAGATAATTTTCACAATTAGACTCAACTTTATTCTCAATGTTTAGTGAATAACAGTTTTCATATCCTGCATACCTATGCATATGTTCTTTGGGCGATGGTGTATAACATGTTTGTCTCAAACCTATTATACAAGTTAGTAGGTTAAAAGCTCGGGGATGATAATTTTGTAGTTTATCATCACAAAACAGTATATTTAACATGCTAGTCTATGTAATTACACCTGCTAGTGTTTTAACATTGCTCCACCCAGAGTCTGTGAATGACAAGAGTGTCTTTACACAGCCTGTTAAGGAGTATGGTTCTAGAGAAATCACTCCAATTGTTTTAGCGACACTAGAACATAACTGATACAAAACAAGCATGTGTAAGTGCGACATCTTAAGAAAAACATAAGCTTCCATATGCCACTGTTGACTAACATTTCTGTGACTTCGCACAACTAAAATTTAAAAGAGCAATCACTATTTTTGATTAAAATGAGAAAAAAAAGCCTAAGTCAATAAATCTGAAGGCCTTAAAACAGTTCCGAAGTCTCTAATTACAATCAATGCCTTGTGTCCATGTATGCGTGCGAATCCACCACAAATCGCACGAAGACTTAAGGATTTAAGGGTGGTACGAGTTCCTACTTGTACACACCACACGGTGAGGTCAGATCCAAGCTGCCAAAGAAAAAAAGGCAAGCAAGCGCTCCCCCCACCACCACCACCAAGAGCAGGCCACCTTGCCTAAGTGTTCAGCAGACCAAGAGAAAAAAATAGGCAAACAAAATCACTCTGCTTGATTTTTGCACCGTGTCAATCCTATAAAGAAAAAAAAGTGCTCTAACTACTAAGAAAATGGTGCTTAACAGCATAAAAAAATTCCAGTTTAGAGTGAGTGATATATGTTGCTTCCTTCTTTCAGAGAAACAATTTATAACTCACTGATGTTAAACACTTGCACGGTACCTCTGCATTTAAGTGAGATATTGTAAGCAAACTGTACCTTAAAGACATCAGCATAGAGATGACTCTGGCGACCAGGAGTGAAACAAAACAAAACACACACACACACACACACACACAAAACAGATTGTTTAGAAAGGGCTGGGTAGCCTGTCAAGGGCGCACACACCCAGCCTGGGCTAGCTCCTCTCCCGAGGGTTGCCAAGAGGATACTCAGTCCCTCCTGGGCCATTTCCACTCCACTCCCTCGGACTGGACACCAGCGCCAGCGCGAGAAAATGCGGGAAGCATCTGTTGCCAGTCACCACCCGGTCCTCCAAAGAAGGCGAGCCCATGGCTGTTGGGAACAATTTTCAAAGCCTGTCAGGGGTGCGTCCCCCCTTCCCCGGGCTTAACCCTCTTCCTCCGTAGCCGGCGAGCCTCCTCCTCCATCCCAGAACCGCGACCGGTGCAGCAGCGCGCGCCGGCCAGGGTAGCCAGGGAGGACACCAGGGGTAGCCAACGCCAAACAGTGCGCAGACTCCGCGGCGCGCTCCGGACTCTCCACTCGCCTCAACCTGCTCGCCAGCGAAAAGGGGTGGGAGGAGGAGTACTGGGAGGGGGGCGGGGGCGGAGGGGATCCTGTTAATCCGAGGTCCTGGGGGTGTGGGAGCGGGAGGAGGCTCTGCTGGTCCCTCCTCCCTCCTGCAGGCCCCGGCTCCACCTCCTCCGCATGCCCCCAGATATACACACACTCAGCCGCGGCTGGACATGCACACCCAGCGCCGGCTGCGGGCGGGCACACACGCAGGTAGCGACACTCACCTGAGCCGGAGCAGAGAGCTCCAGCCGCCCGCAGAGCGCCAGCGCGGCGGCCCGGGCCGGGAACGGCCCCACTTGCGCTGCCGGAGTGGGGAAGGCGGGAGCAGCCTCAGCACAGACCTGCGAACTGAGGTGATGGCGCGTTTTGCTTAAATCCTCTCCTCCAGCACCTCGGCCTGCTGGGCTGCGGCCGGAGAACGAAGAGAGAGAGAGGGGCCCCGGGCGCGGCGCACCGGCGGGCGCACGCTCCGAGACGAGCGCGCCGACAGAGGGGCGCGGCGGCGCCGGCGCAGGAAACTTGAGCGAACTTAGTTGCAAGTGCCCGGCGGCGACCGAGAGCAAGGGAGGAGGGGACGCGGCCCAGGCCGGGCCCGGCGCGCCGCCTTCCACGCCGGCCTCATCCCGGAGCCCGAGTCGGCCTGCAGCGCGCGGAGCCAGCATGGCCCCGCGGACGGGAAGACGCGGCGCCTCGGAGAGCCGGGAGAGTTTCCTCTGAGGCCGGGTGACCCTGGGCTAGCTCCGGCCTCATCCAGCCTCCTTTCCTCACCTCTCCTGTCCAGTGGCCGGAGAGGAAGACTCGCGAGGCAGGCGCTGGCGGGGAGGAGGGACAACTCCTCTGCAACCCCCCACTCCCAAAACCCCAGCTGCTCGGGGTGGGGGGCGATTCCCATCAGCGCGCCCTGCATGCCCGGGTCGGAGAAGACCCGCTCGTGCGGCTGTATTTGTATTTATATCCATTGCTGCGCTGTGCGTTCCCGTGGCGCGCCCGGACCCTCCTCCGCCTCCCCCTCCTCTTCCTCCTCTGGGGCCACCTCCCCTCCTCCCCCCACCCCCATCAGCTTCTGTCAAATGAGAAAGTCACCGAGGAGAACCCAAACACTCCAGCCGCCGAGAGCCCCCTTTGGCACTTGGCTGCACGCGGCGGCGGGCTCCTCGGCTCCACTGGGTGCAGTCCCTTCGACGCAACTTTCGCGGCCGCTTTGCACTTGAGAGAGGGGAGGCAGCGGCTCCCTGCGGGCACCTCGCGAGCCGACGTCGCCGGAGAGGAAGGACGGAAAGGGAGCAAGAGGCCAACTGCCCCCGCGGGCCGGGGGCGCCCCGGAGAACTTACAACAGTGTCCCGGCCGGAGACCTCAGGGAAGCCGGCTGCGCGACGCGGCCCCAGGCCGGGGCCCCGGCCCCCTCCTCCCGGGCGGGAGCGGCGTCCCGCGCGCGGCCAACATTGATTTCCTGCGGGCCGGGGGCGAGGGCCCGGGCGGCGGCGGCGCGGTGCAGCCGCGGCACGGCGAGAGCATGTCCAAGCCGGTGGACCACGTCAAGCGGCCCATGAACGCTTTCATGGTGTGGTCGCGGGCCCAGCGGCGCAAGATGGCCCAGGAGAACCCCAAGATGCACAACTCGGAGATCAGCAAGCGGCTGGGCGCCGAGTGGAAGCTGCTCACCGAGGCGGAGAAGCGGCCGTTCATCGACGAGGCCAAGCGCCTGCGCGCCATGCACATGAAAGAGCACCCCGACTACAAGTACCGGCCGCGGCGCAAGCCCAAGACGCTGCTCAAAAAGGACAAGTTCGCCTTCCCTGTGCCCTACGGCCTGGGCGGCGTGGCCGACGCCGAGCACCCGGCGCTCAAGGCGGGCGCCGGGCTGCACGCGGGCGCGGGCGGCGGCCTGGTGCCGGAGTCGCTGCTCGCCAACCCCGAGAAGGCGGCCGCCGCCGCCGCCGCCGCTGCCGCGCGCGTCTTCTTCCCGCAGTCGGCCGCCGCGGCCGCCGCTGCCGCCGCCGCCGCCGCCGCGGGCAGCCCCTACTCGCTGCTCGACCTGGGCTCCAAGATGGCAGAGATCTCGTCGTCGTCGTCCGGCCTCCCGTACGCGTCGTCGCTGGGCTACCCGACCGCGGGCGCCGGAGCCTTCCACGGGGCGGCGGCGGCTGCTGCAGCGGCGGCCGCGGCCGCCGGGGGGCACACGCACTCGCACCCCAGCCCGGGCAACCCGGGCTACATGATCCCGTGCAACTGCAGCGCGTGGCCCAGCCCCGGGCTGCAGCCGCCGCTCGCCTACATCCTGCTGCCGGGCATGGGCAAGCCCCAGCTGGACCCTTACCCCGCGGCCTACGCCGCCGCTCTATGACCCCGCGGGCCGCCTCGCAGGACCGCTGTGCCCGCGTGTACATATGTATAGGTACGAGCCGGCGGCCCCGCGCCCCGGGCGGCGGGGCGGGTGTGGGTGGACAGGTGCCAGGCGGAGGCCGAGGGCCGGTCGGCGCGCGAGTGCGCGGGCGAGGGCGCGTGTGGGTACCGGGATCGTGGCAGACCCGCGCTTCCCGCAGCCCCCCGGAGACAGGGCTGTTGGGCCTGGCTGCAGCTGGTGTTGGCTTTGCACTTCGGAACCTGTTGCGTTTTGGACCCACGGGGGTGCAGGAGTGACTTCTCTGACATGCTGGGCTTGCCCGTTTGGTGTGCTGGGAGTTGCCTGGTCGATTTCGTGCGTGTTTCTCACTCTGGCTCCCCGGCCCGCGGTGTGTGTCCTGCCCTCGCTCCCGAGCGCGGAGTCGGAAATGGCTGGCGTGCGCGCCAGGGATGCCTCGGAGCACTCGCTCCCTCGTTGCGCCGCGTGAACTTTGCAGAGCTCTGCTCCCTGGAGCAGGGCCCCCAGACCGGGTCCGTCCGTGACCGGTGGCCCGCTCCAGTCTGGCCTTTGGTACGGGAGCGGACCGCGGGTGCTTTTGTTTATCAGGCCGTATGCAAATCGGAGCGAACGCTCTTCCCCGCGAGCGAGAAACGCCGACCAGATACCAAGTGAGATCAAAGTTGTCCATTGGATTTTCTCCCTTTAAAGAAAAAACTAATAGAAAATTCGCCCAGAGTCCACGGGCTCGGATTTACCAACAGGGGAAAAGGCTCCACTCCTTTTTCCGCCCTTTCGGCTGAGTCCACCTTCGGGTTGTAAATGTGTATATGTCGGTGAAACCATTGAGTCTTGGCAAATGTGTTATTTTCGTTGCCCTAGATTTGAGTCGGTTTTAGACTCAAAAGCATTTTGAGCAGATGTTAAGAGTTAACTTTTAAAGATTGCGGAACGATTTCGGAGTCGCAATTTTATCTAAGATTAAATCAGACTTTTTTGTCTGAGTGGTAATTATATATTTATTATTTAGCAAAACTGGATTGTTTTTGACAGATCTCTCATTTTCAGCTAGCATTTCTTCCCCCACTTGAACTGTTTTAATGTGTTTTGGAGTTCCCTCCCTGATTTTTTTTTTAGCTCACCTGCAATTCATTTGCAAATTATGATAAAAACGCATCTTTAGGGAAAAAAAACTTCCTCAATTATAGCTTTTCGTTTCTTTTTAAATGTATATATTTTGACTAATGTTTGTGAATGAAGTTGGCTAACATGTATTTAGTTTCATTTTGGCTTCATGTAATATAAAGTTTTAAAAAGTTTAAATATTGGTTTTAACCTTTATGTATAAATGCTTTTCTTGTGTGATCTTCTAATTTAATAGTAGACGTCTGAACTCCATCTGTAAATTAGAATCCGACTATCACTCCGTTCATTTTTTTTGAACAAAGAGTTTAAATAAAGCCTGAACCAGGGAAAAGAGAAAAAATCCTCTATTTCTTGTTGAGTTCCTAACAAGATTTTTATCTGAATTGCCCTTATGTGCCTGGTCCAGGTGAAGTGTAAGGTATCCTCCAAAGACAGCCTTTGTTTCACTTTTGAATAGATTTACTAGGAAATCTAAATCAAGCCATTGTTATTCAGAGCCAAAAGGCTGATTTATCACATTTTTAATCGTGAATAGGAAAGAAGATAAAAAAAAAAAAAAACCCAAGTACTTGTATTATCTTTAAAAAAAAAAAAAAAAAGGCATTCATGAACCAGAACAGAGCCCATTGAAAACATCCAGACGGTTCAAAGCATTTGACCAGTTTCCAGTAACATTTTCGGAGGAGAAAGTTGCCTGACCACTTTATCTTGTTAGCAGGAGAGCCTGGCCACTTAAATTGGTGTAATTTGTTCAGGTATCTTCGGGGTATTCCTTGTTTGCACCTTATGGTTTTATTGGGGGAAGGCGATCACTGCTACCAGCCATGTACAACTTCTGACCTCTCCAAGGCTTTCTTCTTCATGCTAATAACAGGAAAATACAGTGTAACGCACTCTTGTTATAGACGGTTGCATTTCCGGGGCCAGACAAGTTTCCAAAGAGGAGAGTTGCACATCATAAAAGATTTTAGTGCTAGACAAGAAACAACAGGGCACCGAGGAAGAAATCAGAAAAAAAAAAAAAAATACACACACACACGCTGTAGGGAGATTGCCTGGCCCCCACCAATGAGATGGAAACGCTGAAGATAAAAGTGCCCATCTTAACACTGCTTTCCTCGGAGGCAGAGGCGATCTCAGAGCTGCGCGTCTTTAGGAGCTACCCGAGTCTTTAAACTGATTGTTTTCCCCCTACGGAATCATATTTTAAAAACCATGAAAAGTTTTGGAAATGTGAGAAATAGGCTCTGCTGGCTTGACCCTGATTCACTAATTAAAACGATCCCTCTCCTGTTATTCCCCGAGCTCTTTGCAATATTATAAGTTAATTCATATGGTTCTGAGCGATTATGCAAAACTAATTTGGACTGTCCAGGGGTAATTATCCCTGACACGGTTAATTAAATCCTTTCAGGGCTTGTCTTTCCTTTTGTAGCCGCCCATCACTTCTCTACACGGAACTTCCTGCGGCTCGCTGCAAATCACCCCAGCCCTAAATCTGCACTTCCCTCCTTGGGCCTTCTAGCCTCTCTGGTCCCCGCCCCCGTTCGCCGCCCCCACCTCCCCCCCACCAAAGACCCGCGTTCTTCGCGAGAGGCGCGGCGGAGGGTGGAGGAAGGGGCCGAGGACTGGAAAGATGGGCCCGGGAGGCGGTGGGCGCCGGGGTCACGTCGCCCGCAGGCTGTGCGGCCGGGGGATGCCCGCGGCCTTGCGCACGAGTAGGTGGGCTTTGCACCCGGAGAGGGTCTCCCGCCAAGTTGGGCTTGTGCAGCAGTCTGGCCTGGGGTCGGGGCGAGAGGGCGTGGGGAAGGGGCCGGGGATAAGTGCGCAAGTGACCCACAAACTGCAGCGCTGGGAACAAGCAAAGAGCCGCTGCTGGCCGGCCGGCCGTCTCTCCCCCTCGCCTCCCTCTCTCCCTCTCTCTCTCTCCTTCCTCCTTTCCCTTCCTCATTTTTGTCTTCCATTGTCTTTTCTGTGTTCTAAGGTTTACAAAAAGCCACTCAGTGCTGGGGTAGTAGCGATTGCCTAAAAGCCTCCCGGGCCAGGAGCGAGGCTGCGCGCAAACAGGTGGAAGTTGGTCGGGCAAGGGAGGCGCGCGATGCCGCCGCGCGAGGGGGCAGCGGGAGAGCCGGCCGCCGCCTCGTCGGGGACGATTTGCTGCGTCTCCCCCCACTCCCGCCCCCCAACCCCCTGAGAAACTGGGACAGCTCGGCGGGACGCCCCCTCCCACCCCCAAGCTCGCGGCTGTCGGCGCACAGGGCGCAGAGCTAGGGCGCACGGGGAGCTCCCGGGCTCCCCCGGCCGAGCGAGGCCCGGCGCGCCAGCCAATCAGAACGCAGCTCGGCGCGGGGAGCGCAGTGGCCCGCGAGTGGCCCGCCCGGAGTGTCCGCGCCCACGGTCCGGCGCAGCCACAGAGCGCGCCGGCCAAACTTTATTAATCTCTCCCCCGTCCTTTCTCCCTCAGCCCAGTGCATCTCAAAGGTCAGCCCTCTTCTTTTAAAAGACTGATATTATTAATTCACTGACAATCCCCCTCCTCTCTTCTTTTTTTCTCTCTTGCAGGAAAAAAAAAGGGGGGGGAAAGGAGGGGGGTAGTGAAAAGAGCTTTTTTTATTCTCTCTCTCTCTCTCTCTTTTTTGTCCTTCAGTGGGAGCGTTTAGACAGTCGAGGAGGTTTTGTCCGCGAACAAAACGCAGGGTTGGGAGGTTTTGTGAGAGTGTTGTTTGTTGAAGTGCAGCTAAGAAAAAGCGGCGGCTTTCTCCTCATTGTGAGGAAACCAATCAGCGGTATTTGGAAAACTGTTAGCATTGTGCACTTCTTCTGTGTCCGTTGTGAGGCGTTTCTTTTCACAAGGTTTTTTTTTCAGCCCATCCAGCTGGCCGGAATGAATAGCGGTGCAATGTGTACACGCTTTGTCCCTCCGGTCTTCAAGTAGCCCGCATTGAATAGACTAAGTTGACACTGCGTGACAGTGAAACAACATAATAAAAAATACATGAGCCCCTGAATAGGAGCAGGCGCATAAATAAATAAAATGGGTGACCAAAACTGGATAAACTGAATGACAAAACGGTGAAAGCGGAACAAAAAGATATTTAACACGCTAGATTAGCATTAGAATGCGATCTACAAGGCAGAACAATTGATGAATAGGTTTACCGGCCAAGAAAGAAATGGACTAAATGCCCTTTGAATAGATATGCTTTTGCAAGGGCTTTGAATAGATATGCTTTTTGCAAGGGCTGAATGGGAAAAGGTAAAGATGAAGCTATGCAAATGAGTGGGCGAACTTTTTATATATATTCTTTAAACACACACACACACTAGCAGGGGAAGAGTGCTGCCTCGCGTGTTTATAGAAGCAATAATTGCCATTATTAGCATTGTCTGCAGAAGATAGAAATTGAACAGGTCAGGATAATATGGGGTAGCAGTAATTATTCTTCTAATTAATAGTCCTTTGCTGCTTGCAAAAAGGGGGAAAAAAGGCAAGGAGAAGTCAAAGTTATGCAGAAGTTACGCTCCCTGTGTCCACTTGCCCAGCGCTGGCATTCGAGCAGCACCCAGTCTGGCTGTTCCTCTCTGACCTTGAAGCTTTCCAAGGAGCCAATCCTGAGGCTCCGTGTATCCTGCGTTTTTGAGAGTCTAATACCAAGTCTGGCACATGGTAGGTGCCCAGCAGTAGTTGTGGAATGAATGAATAAATGCAATGTAATGGGGGAACCCACGCCTCCCGCTTGGAGGAGGGACTCCCAGGGACTGCCCCCAGGCAGTTGTCGCCTTTCGTTCCCACCTCCCTTATCTGGGGGTGCAGGTGCTGACGGATGCTCGCAGCCACCTTGCTTTGGGGTTTGCCTTCAGCCTACCTGAACTGCTAGGAAAGACGAGT